TCTTGGCCTACAAACTTTCGTTCATTTAACTCATTTAATTTTCCTAGTGCCTCGGTTCCTCTGGAGAAATTGTCTATGTATTTTATGAATAAAGTGCACGAATAGAGGAGATAAGACCACGTTAATCAGAACAAACCAACCACTAAAGTAAATGTGTTTTATTTTCCAATAACATAGCCTTGTCTTCAATCTCTCTACAAGATGTGTCGAGATCTTAAGTCTTCGATGATTAACTCCTACGGGTATTCTCAAGTAAGAGAAGGGTTGGGGGTTGGCCTTACATTTTATAAGTCCAGATAAGTGAGCAATATGGTTCTCATTAACATTCAACCCTGTCTATTTGCTTTTCCTGTAGTTTACTTTGAGGCTAGATGATAGTTCAAAGAAATGAAGAATTTAATCAAATATGAGACTCCTAACATATATTGCCTCCTCCAAGGGTCAATGTCCACGACAACTTTCACTCTATCGAACTGGCTCAATGGTATTCATTTCTCTTTTGGCGACTTCACTCACCTATCAGTATTCAGTAATATACCTTAATCTACCTTTTTTGTGACACAACTCACATTGGAAAACACCAATTGTTAGAAGTTTAACACATGAGGAAAACTCTACCCAAAAGAATAGTCTATTAAGTGGGAAAGTCTTATATCATAATATCATATTGAAGTTGTTATACTATCCAATGTGGAACTCCTAGCATGTCCACATACATGTTAACCAATGAATGCTAGAATTCCATACTTTTAATTAATTGCAAGTTGAGAACGTTCCCCTAGAGGCTTCTAATTTGATAACAAATGAATTTCATATAGAGATGCTTGAAAACATATGAATTTTTTTTTTTTTTTTGGTTTTAGGATAACATATCATCTTTGTTGCTACTCGGGGAAATGGAGACCAGTTTGTTGAACTCCATAATGAAAGATAATTAATTATGGATTTGAATGTCCTATCATATAAGATATTAATCTTGATTCATCATTTGCATATGAATGACATTTCTTGATTATATCTATGTTATTTGTTGAGTCACTTTAATATCATAATCTATACAAAAATTCATATTGTGATCATCTTAGTTAATATCTTACTCCTACCTAACTCCTTCTATTTATATGTGCTATGTTTAGGCACAAGGTTGTTGCAAACATAACAATAACAAATATTTCCTTTGTTTAAGCAAAAGTGTCAAGAAACAAATATTAAGGAACCATACAAATATAACAACCATTTAAAGTATGATTTGAATGGAAAGGAAATAGATTATTAATAGATAACTAATTAAGTTGGAAAAAGTCAAATTCAAATAAGATCAGAAACTTTAAGAATAAAGTCAGGGTTCAATCTTTGTCTTGTGTAATGACTTCGTTGATAGAGACTTTAACAATTTCTACATCTTGAAAGGATTTAGTCTTCAATGAGAAACCCTTGATGTCCTAAAAAAAACACTTAAAGAATGAAACATGACAATAAGGATCCGATTTCATCCAATTATAATTCCCGATTCTTCATAGAAAATTAAAGAATGTATTAAATTATTGATTAACTAACTATCTTACTCATGAAATAGAAATAGTGAAATACTCATTTGAGTAACTACTTTGGTAAAGTTGATAAAAGCATGACCAAGAAGCTCAACGGACTTTAAAACAACCATTCAGCAATGAATGAGGCACTCAAATTCATAACTCATCGTTTATTCGGCGAACTACGTACATAATTGTCATAGCTAAAAGATTTTAGCAAGATATGTTAACGTTAAGTATCTCAAACATTAACATGCGTCTAAGTGGAGTTTGTATGAAATGAGAAAAAAATGTATACACTAACCGTGTGTATCAGTTTTATACATTGTCATTGCATCATTTATCATTTATATTTAATCATAATTGATTTTTTAAAATAATAATTCAAATGAATGATAAATAATGTAATGAATGTGCATAAATATTTATACTAACAATGTATATATATTACACGGTCTTAATAAATTTTGGTGTTTAAGGTTATCTACATAAAAATTTGATATAGTTTGAGTAAAATAACTTCATCAATATACATAGTAAACTAAATTTAAAAGAAATATTGAAATGTGAATTGAAAAAGAGTTGTAATAAATAAAGTATAGTTGAAAATTAATATATAAATATGTATTAATTCTTTAAAATATCAAAATATAAAATGAAAATGTTAAAATTAAAAGATATTGACAAAAAGAATTTAATAATCAACAAGTCTGATTACTTATTTATTTATTTGGTACAAATATTATTTTTATCATACTATCTAACAAACTCAGACCCATTGTAATCCTTAGAAGTTCTAAGCTAAATTGGACAAATTCAGCTTTTCTATACTCTAAACTCGTTTTCAATTAATAACCAACAAAGCTAGCTTAACATAGTTAGCAGATTATGATGATTCAGTTTTTTAATTGGTTGGAAAATCAACTTCAATAATATATTCGTATCTTAGATATTAATATTGAGATAGCCTTAATAAAATGATAAAAAAATCTACAATTAATATTACTATTTATAGAATTCTAGATTATGATCTCATAATGAGTGAACTAAAATATAATCCGTTGATTTTATATTTATCAACGATTGAAATTAAACGGTTTCCCACTCTTGTTCACACTCCTCCTATATATATACACACTTCAACTCTAGTTTACCCTAACCCTATTCAATTCCATTCTCTTATTTTCCTCTTAGAAAATCTCCAAGAAAATTGTGAAACTTAGGTTTCTCTTTTTCACTATTCCTCGTTTTCAAAGCTTGCTACAATACAAATGGTGATTCCGAATGAGAACGAAGAAGAGAAAGCGAATTTCACGATAAAGTGGGTGCTCAAGAAGCCCACGAACGATGATCAGAATTTGACTCCGAATAGAAATACGGAGCCGGAGATGGATCACACGGCGGAAGCAAGTACCTCCAAGAATGAGACGCCATTAGCAACGCCGCAAACAAACGGTGGTATCAGCAGCGAGGGTTGTTCTTGTAATGATGGAGTGAAGCCAAAGGTCGTGATTAATTTGAAGAGAAAAAGGGAAAATGATGAAAAAGAAGATGAACAGAAGGAATCCACGGTGGCGGAGCCGAAGAATTTGCTGCCGTGGAATTTGAGAACGAGACGATCACAGTGTGAAAGGGATAATGAGTTGAATAAGGATTCGAGAAACAATTCTGATAATAAGATTCAAAGGTCAGAAGTAAAAATAGAATTGACAAAGAAGGAAATCGAGCAAGACCTCAGAATCTTATCAGGTCATCCTCTACGAGGTAAACCTAAGAAGAGACCTAAAGTTGTGCAGAACCATTTGGATGTAAGTCGCATTCGTCTCTTCTTAATAATTAGCAAGGTTTTAAATAGTAGTGATTATTCAAACTAACGCCAAGATTTCGATGTTATGGGTGAGAGCTCATAACATCGACCTTGACTTAAAACTTGGGTGTTACTTTTTTATTTATTTGGAAGATTTTACACTAGTCATCATGGTTTTTGTTTATTGTGCAGAATATCTTCCCTGGATTGAATTTAAAAGAGATTACAGCTAAATCATACAAGGTTCCTGAACGTTCTAGCTGATTATGAATGTGAATGTGAGGAAGACAAAGGGCTAGGGCAACAATGCATTTGTTGCACTTCAACATATTTGAGTCCATATTTGATTCCTTCTTTTATAAGAGTTAATTTTAGGGTTAGCCCAATTCAATTACTTTGTAAATGTCTCTTTGGATAAGGTGTGAAGTAACCTTGTGCTTCCATTTTAATGAAATAGCTGTATTATAAAAACATTAGAGTTTGTGAGTTAATTTTTTAGTAAGAGAATAAATGTGAATGCCATTAAAAAACTCCATAACATGTGTAGTGGTTGTGTTCATCCCTCTCAAATGTCATAGGTACATCTATTTAACAATAAATGGTTATATTCCTTAAATAGTACTTTTGTTGTTCACATGAGTTTTTTTCTCTCTAAAATGCTTTATTATATGTACCTTTTAATGGAATGCCTTAACTCTCGATAAACTATAAAAGTAAAAAAATAATAACTCACTGTGAATAAAGCAGAGTTATTGATGTGTGATGTAGAATTTTTATAAACCTTCATATCCGCCCTTCCGAATATCAACCCCCTCCATAAGGTCCATTGTTAATGTCTTGAATTTGGATTTCATAAAATATTTTTTGCCTATTTTGCTAAAAAGATCCATTTTTAATGACATTTAGTTTCTGGCAGATGGAAGGCTAATAAAGAGACATTGTATTATTTTATTATTCATTGAGTTTGTATAAAAGAAACTAATTAAAAATAAAAATAAAACTGAACTAAACCAATTTTTAAGGAATTAGTGTAACATTTCCATTTTTCATTATTTTTAATGATCAACTGTTTTTATATTGTTAGTTCATCATCGACCAATCATTCATTTTTAAATGTTACTGAACTTGTAAATATAAATTAACTTGTAGGTAAATCTTTATTTTATTAGGATTGTTATTATGGGTAAAGAGAAATGTTACATTTTATCACTTTAGAAAATTGTTCACTTTAGCCCCGAAAAAACTGTCTTCCAATAGTCCTTATTACAGTTATCATTCTATTGAAGCTTTTTTTGTCTCTGTATGATTAGCTAATATAAAAAAAAACCAACCACATATATCAATAATGACATGATACTTTAGCACTTAATTTATCATCCTAAGGAATAAACCAAGTGCTTTAAAGTTGTCAAGACTCATACCAAAACTAAATGACATAGAAGAGTTTTTGCTAATAATAAAATCAGACTAATAATAGGTTCCCAGCCAGGGAGAAGTTGCAAAAGGTTTCAACTTAATGGAGTTTAGTGAAGGTAGATGTACATAACCTTAGTCGATGGTGCAATTAAGGGAAAAAGCTCCAGCGCCATAATTCAAAGCAAGGTAGCTTAGTCAAGCTAAATGACTAACCATAATGCAACATGAAAGATTTCACAAAATAATTTATTGACAGAACCTATAAGGAAATGCATTGACACAGCAGAATGAAGAGTTGCTTAAATACAGAGAAGCATTACTCTTGCAACCAAATGACTGAAACCCCCATTGAAGTAATACAATGTATTTTGCCAAATAAGAAGTGCCAAAGTCATAAGTTTGCACAGCATTAAAACAAACATTGGATTTTAATAAGTACAAGCCTCTAGATTTCTTTTGCATGAAACAAAACACCCTTAAAACATAAAGTTTATTTATTACATTGAAAATCATTTTCGACAAAATAAAAGGGAAAGCAAAATTTTCTAATGTCTACCATGAAATATTAATGGATCAATAATGTGCTATTTGGCTGCATAAAATTGATCTGAAATAAAGTAGGAGAAAAATCCTGGTCCACGGCTCAATCAACGTAACTGGGAAGGTGAACAGAGCAACCCAGAAGCATCTGCTCCTACCACTGCAAGATCACACACAGTACATAGCTGCCCCTCGTGGCTTGGCACAAATCGAGAAGTACAATATGGGCAAGAGACATCCTTCTGTCCTCGATAGATTGGGACATATGTCGCACCACAAATCACAAATGGGTTTCGGTAATCGTAGTTCAACTGTGTGGCATCATTCATATTCTTTTCTGCAGCCGCCACCACTTGCCTCGCTCTCTTTACTTGAATTTCGATGGTAGGGTTTGTCTCAAGTAGCCTCCTGGCGAAGTTATAAGCTGTGGCGAGGTTCTTTTCCTTGAAGCATACAACCATTGCATTGAGCAGAGCTAACCTCAAGTGTGGTAGTTGAAGGTTGCAGTGAGTGAAATATGCTGCTAGCTCCTGTTGCCGTGCAGGGTTGTCCTTGATTTCCCTCCTCTGCAACTCAATCTGGAGACCCAAAACATACTCTTTGACTATGATAATCAATTCCTTCACTTCATCCACTTCCCTCCTTGACTCAACAACAGTCAATGGAATTGTGTGAAGAATATTGACAAATGCCCGAAGAGCCTCAGAGAATTTCCCAGCAGTAGTAAACTTGTAACCAGCTTTAAGCTTTTCATCCAGCTGAGACAATTTGAACGGAAGTGTAGGGGAGCCTCTTACATTTGGACTAGATGACTCAGTCCATCCTCTTTCAACTGCAAGTGTTATTTCTGGAGCAGACGAAAATGCAAGCAGATAGGAATGACTGCCAGTGTTAAGATCAAGAAACATGGATTTCAAGGGGGCAAAGTTTCTTATCCCAAGTTGCCGGTTAAGTAACCGCATTGCAGTATCAAAATTGCCAGCAGCTGCATGATCAGCTGCAAGTGATGACCTTTGAATCCATATCTGGCTCACCGGAATGCCAGGTGTTGGAGGCACAAAAACTGAAGAACGTGAACTGATAGAAACTTTTGGGGTCTCAGCTTCCGGGGGCAGCTCTAAATCCTCCATCTCCCATCCACCCTCTTCACCGTTTTCTTCAGCCACTTCTCCATCATCCAGAATCTCAGCAACATCTCCATTTTGTAAGCCATCCACATCAACTATGTCAAGCTCTTCGCCCCAATCACCATCAGCAGCCTCATATTCTTCATCAGCAGAACCTGCACCTGTATTGTCAAACACACCATCGAACATGCCTTTCATGACCCTGAGAAGGGGCCAATCACTACCACACATCACAGGTGACGGTGGCATCAGGAGCGATGGCACTTTTCCCGCAGGCAAAGATGGGACATTATCCCCCAGCTCAGCTGCAAGTCGTTCAGCAACATCATGTAGCCCATGGACAGATGCAGTGATGTAAGCAAGAGGCAAATGGCCTACATTCTCCAAGATCTTAATACGTTCTCGAACATCACCCATGTACAAGGCATTGTGAAACTGGCCCATCACATCATTCTTGACTTCAGCAATTTTTAACATCTTCGAAAGTTTCTCCATGTTACCAGTTACTAGATAAAGGAAAGACAACCTCTCAAAATTCTTTGTCCTCTGGTAAGCATACTCTACTATACCAGCATTTCCTTGGCGAAGAGCCTCAACCCCTAAGCGATACCAGTGATCTTTCTCATCAATTGCTGTAGCTGATGCAACTGCAGTTTGAATGTTTCCACTCTCTAAAGCCAAATTGAAACGGATTCTCTCATCTTTCACGAAGTGAAGAGCAACCTCAGGAAAGCCCTTCTGCTGTAGATAAGCAATCATAGCCTGTCCACAAAGCTGTGAATTCTTTATCATGCTCATGACATGGTCATATCTTTTCTTCAACAGGGCAAGCTTAAAAATATATTCAGTTGCATCAATAATTATAGATCTACTTTTCCCATCCCGATCCAAGCAGAAGATTGTGTTTCCAGAAACCTTTGTGATATAAATTGTTGCATCCAGTGTTTTTATTATCCCACTATCTCCATTAGGAAGGCAGTATTTGATGTGATTTAATGTTGTGTAAATGAAAACTCCATTGTCATCCCAGCCTCCACTTTTTACCCGGATTGTCTCGTGGAGAGTACATTGGTGCACAAGTTTCTTGCTAGCAATTATGATGGCATGTTTGCTAAGTAAAGCAACACTTTCCATGTCATTAGACCATACAACATATTTGATAAAAGGGGTCTGAAGATCACCAACAACAAGCCTTTGTTGAAGATCAAATATAGCAACCCTATCCTCTGACCTACAAAGCAAGTTGCCTGTTCCTGCATAGAATATAGAATCAGTGACTATTGGGAGGACACTCTTTTTAACAATCTCATTCTTCAAATTTTTCAGAAGAACTTGATTGGTGCTCTTGTCAAGCACGGCAAACCTATTCCGAGCCACAAATACTGCTGATCCTCCAGAACCTTTCTTAGAATCTTGCACATCACCCCTACCATAGCTATCCTTGGATATGATATACAACTCATAAGATCCACCGTCTACATCCGAACACAGAAGAAATGCATTCTCAGTTGGACTATAGGAAAGTGTCCTTGGACTTTGATTCAGGCTTAAAGAGCCAGGTCTACGAATTGGAAGTACTTGTGTCTCTCTTTGTGTTGAAAATTCATAGAAACGCAAGAATCGATCTTTTGTGTAGAACAATGAATCACCACTAACCGTGAAGGCAGGCCTTTCTCTCTCCAGCTTAAAAACAATCATGCCACTGTCATGCCCAGCTGCCAAAAGATTCAATTCAGGATGTGCTACAAGAATCCAAAATCTATCATGCTCTCGGCGGAATGTTTGAATTCCAGTCCTCTTTGTTGCATCCCATACTCGAATACTTTTATCTTCAGAATTCGAGACAATAATATCCTGTTTTGCATGGAACATCACACATGAAACATTATTCATGTGCCCTCTCAATGTGTCCACTTCCCACGCCTTTGTGTCTGAAATTAGAGAAGCATTTCATGTTAATTAGGAAGATAGAGAAGGTCAATTCAAATACTAGAAGAATTTTCTTCTAAACGAAATACTGCAAATGTTAATGGATCAAGGAATTGGCTTGGAAAAAAGATTTTTTTCACCCCCAACAAAAACATATAACTTCCTCCTAATCCTTATGTTAATAGATAAGTAGAAGAGCATTAAGAATATATGTAAATGCATTCAGTTCAGTACTTAGATTAAAAAATGAAAAGTCGAAGGTGTCCCCAATTATTCATTATTCAGGGAACCACACAGCAAATAAATAGGTTTCATATTTACCATTCATCCTCCACAATTTCACTTGTCGGTCATCAGCTCCTGAAACAATGAGAGGCAGTGTAGGATGGAAAGAAGCCCAATTGACACCCCGGTCATGACCTTCCAAGACATACTTAACAACTGCATCAACACCACCGAAAAGGTCTGTATTCATCTGACTCAGTCGCAGTACGTCATCTGCCGGAGATGCATTCTTCCTCTTGAGAGAACTAATATCCCAAACACGAACAGTCTGATCCAGAGAGGCTGACACAACAAGGTCCTCTTTTGGATGGAACAAGGCACACATAACATAATGATTGTGGCCAGTTAAAACAGATATACAAGTACGTGACTGCCAGTTCCAGATGCGAATGGTCTGATCGTCACTGGCACTCACAATCCATGGGCTTTCATGATGAAATTGCACCGTACGAATATAATCAAGGTGTCCTAGAAGAGTAAACAAACACCGGTGCGTCTTGTAGTTCCAAACCTTAATCTTGTAATCATCCCCTGCACAAAAGGGAACAAAATATTAATAAAGGAGCTACAAACTTTATAACAGAGACATTTTATTTTCATTATTGCATAGAAATATGAAGAAAAAAATCATAATCCTCTCCACCAGAAGAGGCAGAGACTGCTGCAGAAATCAAATGAACACCAAACAATAAGATGAAAATGTCACGCAGCACCGTTTCTTTAAAAACATGACTAATGACATGCATACAGAAATGGTTACCAAATTCAAAAGGTTAAATATTTTATCAATTCAAACAAAATACATCTCAAATAAATCCTGCAAATGTATGTCAATAGCATCTCATATCATCTTCCTGCACACTGAAGGCAGCCTGTTATACCACCCTGGAGCAACCGAACAGGCAAACAAAAAACGCAGATCGACGAAATTAGCATGTACTATAAAACCAGAAACATCAGATACCAAAACTGACACAAAAAATCATTCTACAGCGGCGAAAAAGGGAATTCAAAGTATCTCATAACATACATAGTTCTTCCAAATCTACATTTCCCTTATCATTAATCTATAAGTAGTAGATCTAAATAAATACACCCCACAACAAAAAATCTTGTTTGTAAAACACCAAAAGCCTTATGATCCCACATTGTATCAGCTAACATTGTTCCATAAATAAATAAAAAACAGATCTTTTGAAATACCATTTAGATCCAAATACTCTTAAAAAATTAAAAATACAAAATTGAAGGTTAAGTATTAAATTTCTACCTGAATAAGAAAAGACCCATTATTCAACATAAAGAGAGATACAAAAATGGAAATGGAAAATTACCTCCAGAAACAAAAAGAGGTTGAGAGTTATGAAAATGAACCCCTCTAACAGGACCATCATGTTCATCAAATCGATCAATGAGAGTACCCATTCGATAATCCCATAACTGAATAACACCACTATGAAGACTCGCTAAGATCCATGGCCTCTTGATATGGAAACTCAGACCCTTCACTCTGTTACTCTTGGTCTCAAATTTTGTCAACATGTTTGTTTATTATTGAAATCAAAAAAGTGAGAAATGAGAATAGAAATGGAAAAAGAGAAAGAAAGTTATAGATCTGATTAGAGTGAAGAAATTGGATGCAAAAGGAAGAAGATCCAATATAACAGATCTGGTATTGCTTCCACAACTCTCTATTATTTATTTTACCATAACTGCTGCCATGTATGTCAAATTACGCAATTCTCGCTCAATTCAACCAAATTATTACATCATTTTTTCACTTTCTTCCTAATTATATAAAAATTTATACACAATTCCAATATTATTCATCATTTATTTTAATGAATATTGGATAATAGTGGATAATATTGGATAATACAGTGAATATGTATAAATAGTTACATTTGATTATTATAAAATTATTATTATTTTCATTAATGTTGAATTATTTCATTATATCATCATTTTCATTATACTAGTCTTTTGTCAATTTTTTTTATATTTCCTTCTTTTAGTTGTGTCATTGTGTTTTAAGTTTTGGATGGTGAATGTTAGTTTATCGGGAGAGGATCCACTTACTCAAAGAGTAAGTTTTTTAAAGTTACTTCACATCTTAATCATTAATTCTAGGGAAATTCAGTTGTTTGAATTAGTGAGTAGATCTAAACCATTAAATATCCCTAAAATATTGATAGCTAAGATTTGAAGTAAGTTTAAAAAACTTACTT